TGCTGCTTGGCTGTGTTGAGGCATGTGATGAGAAGAGGTTTAGTAACACCGTGCTCTGTACTCCTTTTAGTATTTACAAATAGCATAGTTCTTTCTCCGTACGAGAACAAGAAAAAAGTTAAATTATTTTAAGCGTACTTAAATATTAAATATATTTTAGGACTAGGGTTTTAGTTGTTGAAAATATTATTTGCATAAATAGACATATATAGATAAACTACCTAACTTTAAATCGACATGATCAGAAACGTAAGATAATTGAATAATCCATTGTTTTAATATTAAGGTTTGCGTATGATAGCGAAAGTAGGTATGTATACATAAAAATATATCATAAAGTCAGAATTATGTTTCGTGACGTGTGCACGCACACAGCGAATGCATTCCGACTACCGTTGCAAATAACGTTCTAATTAAATTAATTGGAATCATTTCATTAATTACCTTTGATATAGCAGTTATGACATTTAAATGTGTATTTTTAGTTAGACTTATATTGAGACAATATTTGTAGTATTATGTGTAATTATGAAGTGATATATTGGCGATGTATACCAACCTGAAGGTCTTGCTTTGCGGCCTCAGCGCCCGCTCTGGTGTGGAAAGTGACGAAACCCACGGGCTGCAAATAGTACAAACTTTACTACTAATCCATCTACATGTTGTGAGATTATTGACCCATGTGTAAAAAAAAAAGTATATTCAAAGTTTACATTATCCCCTTCTTTAAGGAATTGGGAACCTAGTTTACTCCTTAAATTCATGATTTTTTTCTTTTTAAATACCCTAAATTGAAACGGGTAGTAAATTGAACATAGATCAAGGGAAAATAAAGAAAAACATATTTTTTATATCTATTGGGTGTGAAATAGAAGACTGATGTATAAATGCATCATCATGCATTTAATAGTTAAGTTACATGATTTACCAAAAACGTTGTTCTGTTAAAAAGGTCCAATTAATATTTCAATCAATGAAAAAAAAATGAAAAAGAATTCAGATCAGATTCTACTTGATAGGAATTAGAAAAGAAAAATGGAACGGATAAGCTCGTCAAAAGTTCTCTCAGCCGAGTGTAGTTCGTTAATACAGTTCGTGCTGTACATTGAATGAGCCAATTCAACTACCCATATTTCGCAGGTACAGTCGCCATCATTCGCGGTGATGACCTTTAAAGCTAGTCGCTTAAATTATTCGTACGCCTTAAAATGATAAAGTGCGGAAAATGCTGTATTAAAAAAACAATTTAACATTATAAAACACTAGCTTTCTCCCGCAACTCCGTCCGTGTGGTATTAAAAAAAATAAAAGAAAGTAGCCTATGTATGTGTTATTCCAAACTATCCACTTTATCTATACTAAATTCCATCTAGATTTATTCGGTCGTTTAGGCTACAAACTCTAACAAACATCCATCCATCCATCTAAATTTTCGCATTTATAATATTGGTAAGAGTTAAAAATAAAATGCACTTACTACACATTTTCTAATTTAAATATAACATCGAAATACCCTAATGGTTGATTTGCAATAGTGCAGTTTAATTTAGTTGTGAGGTGCAAAGCAATCCATTTGGAACACCGCGAACGACGGCGACTGTACATTGAATGAGCCGACTTAACTACCCATATTCCGCAAACTCGCTTGCAATTCATTTGCACGCGTGCTCTTCAAACACGGAATAAAACCGACAACGGATTAAAGAGACCTGCAATATGACGAACGGACGAACCGCTTCTAGTTTATGTAGAGATATCTCTGCATGTGTTCATTATATTGTTATGAAATTTTGTTTGGAAGTTTTAGGGTTTAAAAAGTAAACCATTTTAAATTTAAATGAATAATCTAAATTTAATTATGCTGACGATACTTACCGAAGCTGTTTTTCCGTTCTTGCTGGTGACCTTTAGAAGCGATCCCTCGTAGCCCTGTTTAAAAATAATTTGAATTAATAAAAAAATAGGTTGAGGATATTAAGGGACTTTCATTTATAGTGAAAAGATTTTTGTTTGAATATTAGTTTCTTTATTATTTTAGTCAATTTTTTTAATTAACATATGACGTGCATTTTCACATTTCCCTTAACAAAAGCTATTTGTTCGTGTTATCAAATTGCTTTCTTTGTCTAGTACCGTCACGTCATGGTGCAATCGAGGTTAAACACGACCCTGCAGTGCAAGCCCGTGCCACGTACGAACGTAAACACGCGATACACTAAAACAACCCTCCTTAACTTCGCCCGTCGCAATGCTCGGTGCCAACCGTGCCAAGGAACGTAATCCCCCTTATCGTCAGACAGAATCGATTCAATCGAATATTACATATCGGAGCATGACATTTGATATTTACGACGCAGTAATCCAATCCGTTATCTCGCCTGTCGCGTGACGCCAACGATACGCTCGCTCTATCATATTTTTCTTGAATATTTGGAATTTTGAACATGAGTGATAGATTGGGTATTTGGTTAGCTTAAAATATTATGAATTCAAAATTTAGAATCACAAAATTTCAGGGTAAGATCGCAGTCGTATCTCAAAAAATATATTTTTCAGAGAAAAGTTTTGTATTTTTTATGTATTGAATAAAATCAAGGCAGATTTTTAAAATTCTTCCACAGTTAGAAAGGTAAATTACCTGTGAGTAACATAGGATATATATTTTGTACAATATAAATTTGGATCGCGAAAAAAAAATTAAACAAATGAAACAAATCACTCACCTCATATGCTCGGAACAGTAAGTACAGTTCCCTTGGCTTGGCGTCCATGGGCAGGCCGCTCACAAACAACGTCCGCACCTGTAATTAAACGATACTTATTTGATTAACTTAATAAACAAAGTTTTGAAAAGGGCTAAGTTTCTTCGCTCATAGTTTGACGGTAAAACTACATTAGTTCTTGGTACTAGTTACTTTTAACACCTCAGTTTAAATTAATATAAATATTCCTTAACTTTATATCGATAAGTTAAGGAATGGTAAAAAACTATCGATTTTATTTGAAGATATTGCGAGAATTGTGTAGATTTCTTTCTTTTCTTAAGAATTGGGTGGGACATTTATCAAAACCGACACAAAGGTGGCAAACAATCTTTCAATGCCGGTACTTCCCGATTCAGCTTTTGTAAACGTTTCGACGCATTAATTCGTGAGTCCATTTAATGAAATAAAACAGAGTTGGTAATGGCGGCGTGATTTGGCGCGTGTTGAAAATGGAGATTAATAGCTGGTAACACCGGCCGCTTGCGACACCAACGCCATCTTGTTCACTTTATTTATGCCTCTGAGTTTCCCTTTTAAAACATTCTAACTTTTACAAAATTACCACCTCGAATCATTGTAAGTTTGTCGAATTTAAAAGAAATATACATATGATATTGATAAAGTGGTTGTCAGTAATTGTAAATTTTCTCTATGTAGTAATTACCATTTATTTAAAAGCGTGTTGCCATTAACAAGATCTGAAGGACCAAATTACTCTACTTTTATAAATTTTGTTTCTTTTATAAATATCATCGAGGTTAAAGAACCCAGAGGGGTGTCATAAAGGGTGGCATAGCATAGGCTGTCGTATATATGTTTTATCGCTTCCGTCCTCCGGTCGTCCAGAATGTCGGACCTTTATGTCGGCTATTTTCCGGTCGAATGGACGGGAATTCCCCGTATCAATGATACGTGATATTTTTGTAAAGTTATTTTCAATACTACTTTTTTAATTCCGTTAAATAAACAGCTTTCATATAAAACAGTTTAAATATTGTAATGTAACACAATATATCAATAATAGACATTTGATGCTTTATATAGACTTTTATTTAACTAAAAATAGAGTTGGCTAGTTAAATAACCTAAAACTAATTAGACTTAAATATATCTCGAAGAAAGAATGGAAAAGATTCCAAGAATAGATTTGATTTAAAATTCACTCAGAATGGAAAGTACACACAATGTCAGATCGAGAACTTGGTTATTAAAACATTTTCAAACAAATTAATCGAATTCGTTCATTTTATTTTATAAAAAAGCTAATTTTAACAATATTCTGAAAATAAAAAAAAACATCCATTACTTCGTTGTAGTTTCATTCAAAGCTTAAATTCTTAGAAACAACCCGAAAACATATCTTCTGACGAAAGTATAAATTGGAAGAGATTCTCTGAAATGTTTACTTGGCGTATTTTTATTTTCCAAAAAAATACTTTTATAATTCCTCTTAAGACCGCTAAGAAAAGACTTCATAAATATTTTGTTGAATATAAAAAGCACAATAGAATAAGCAACATTTCTTTGAATACCCTTTACACAACGTTGTTGTTTTGTCGCGATTAAAACTTGATCGCTTTCTTTCCGTTTTTTTTAGAAAAAAGCAAAAAAAACATTAGCTGATTTAACTTCCACTAAGTGACCAATGGAAGTAAGACCGTTATTTATTATTTTATGGTTTTAAGAGTAATATTATTATTATTTTTTACCGTATGCAAAGAAATTTAATAATAATATAACATATTTGATTTTAGAGCTTTTAGTAACACGTGTTCGTCACAAGTCACAAGTGTTGCTGAGCGCTTGTAACATGAAATTGGAAAACTTTTTATGACATGTCACGTGAAACTCTCCACTAAACATACGAGTACAAGCTGTTCTCCTAACTTAAAACAATTTTTATAAACTATCGACTTAATATAGACATTTTTATTATTTTAATGACTATAAAAGTCTGGCGACTCTGAGAAATCAGTTCAGAACAATTGAAGTTGGGAAATATTTAGGGCAAGTTTGTCTTTTTAGTATTTAATGGAACCAAGAGTAGATACGACATAAAAATAATTACAAATTAATTGGTACCTTTATTAATTCAAATGACTAGCATGACTATATATTTTCATATAGAATAATTCAATCGGCTTGTGATCTCAAACACATTATGGATTACATTTCACCCTGACTAGCAAACTGCCCCTACATGTCGAGCATTTCACACTCGGTTGCGCTAGGATCCCCGCGATGTAGTTATTCTTTACACTATGTTCAAGTTCGATCATTTAAAACTGGCTAAGTATACCTAGTTCTTTATCTGAATATTGTACTTAATGAGTACTATTAGGAAAGGTTTGTATTTTCGTATGTATTGAAATAACTGAAAATCTACTTAGTGGATTTCAAAAACTTCTCGCCGTTAAAAATCTACGTTATCACTATGTAACATTAGCTACTTTTTTGTATTTACTAATTCCACGTAGACGAAGTCACCATCAACGGCTAGTAAATAATAATAATTCGTTTCAGATATCAAAGATCCATGTAGTGTTAGTGTGAACTTACAAACTAGTGTTAAATTTACGTAATTAATTAATGTCCTATAAAGTTAAAACACAATTAAATTAATAGGAATAAAATCTTTCAGATTATATAATAAAAAATTCTATCCTCATGAAACAAAGGACATTGAACATTTAAATAAATAGATATAATAAAAATACTATAGATACTTCAGTCATTGCTAAATTAGATCTTGCTATTGAACTTTTTACAGGAAAAGAATAAGTGGTAAACAGCTTTCATGTCCTATTCAATTTCGTATCTATCTGTCAAAAATAAATACATAAAACGGTTGTTTGAAAAGATTTATCTCAATTTTACGGTTCCATTGCCACGAAAGCGAAGCGAATACTTGATCTGCCTAAAGAGGTTGATACCATCTACGAACAGACTGACATTAATGCGACGGAAAAAAGCGTTAAGTGGGTTGAGTTTGAGCTCGATGTTATTTGTCTGTTTGCTTTATTAATTATTTGGGGCGATGAAAATCATCGAAAATGAGGATTTACAATGAGGAGGATGTTGTTTACGTTCTATCAGGTCAGAATAAATTCGATACAATTTTTAAAATTGTTAGGGAAACCTCCATGAGTTGTCAATGATAAATTTAAAATCAATTATGATGTATAATAGTTTATAAACAAGTCCAATGGCCCTCTCACGATATTGTAAATTGATAACACCAACGTGTAAAATATGTGATTGTGATATCCGGTTTTGTTACCTTTTTTGACAGTGATGTCATTTTTAAGCTATCTAACCCTCTATCGGCCAGTGGTGGGACAAGCGTGAGAATTATGAATATCTCAAGTTTTTAACACTTCATGGTTGAATAAACACCAGAAATAGATGCTATCGAGTATTACGCAGGTGGTATTTAATATTGAAGCTATAAACAAAATAAAAAATAAACTGGGATAAAGGTGTATCCACACGATCGATCGCGCGAGCATGCATCCGAGCCGAGTGGAGCGGAAACACCCGGGGCACTGCACAGCGAATTTATCACGTGTGCATACGTCCTATATATATGTATATATAGGATGTATACACACGTTATAAATTCTACATGTGTCTACCTTTTTAAAAAGCAAACATAGTGCCATCAATTTAGGTTAGTTTGTCGCCATGTATTCTGTTAAAAGCACATATACTTAGTTAAAAACCGCTTATGACACTATTCTTATATGAATAATTAAATGACAATCTTTGCGTCGTGTTCTGTCGTGTTCGTATTAAAAAGACATGAGGGCTTATTTCCTTAATTAATTATTACAGACACCTTAACATTTTTTAGAAATGCCAGACAAGAAAGAAACACGACAGACTTTTAAATGTTGCTGGTATTGGCATGTCCATGCAGAATTACATTGACAACTAAATGCTAGTTGACTGGCTGATAAGTCAATACGTACTGAAAATTAATTTCTTGAGGTATTTTCATTTAAATATCGTTTTATGTTCAGGAAATTTCAAGTTAAATTACCTATTTCAGTGTTAACAACACATGAGGTCTGTATGAAAAGCAATTTCCAGAGAAACAAGAAGAGTTAATCAAATTGAACCAGCCGCATGTCTATTGGCAGCGACGTTGTTATTTCCACATGCACAAAAAGTACAATAATTGAAAAAGTCGCCACGTTTGAAACACGACTCCACAAAGGGGAGCTGAAATTAAATGTCACTTCTCTTTTACTTCTATAAAAAATAATTACAGATATTTTTATGTATGCTTATTAAAATCGCAGTATGGTTGAAAATTACAAAGAAGTGAAATGTATTGAAAATTTAGCTAAACGCTATTTTTTTTTGTAAAAGTAGCAAGACGGCCGTACATTTCCTATCGAAAGTTTGAATTAAAATATATTGAGGTAGCCATTTCCGTATTCTTTTCAATAGAATTAATAAGACTCAGTGAAGTTCCTGAATACAAATGAAAATTTAAATATTACATTAAAACATATAAAAGTATATAATATATGTCAGTATTCATAACTTAAATAATGAAACATTTGATTCCTCAATTTTGATATATGACAAGTCAACAGTAATATTATCAATCGTACTCTAAAGTCAGTACTTGTTGTATGTTATCCGTTGTTATTTCAACAGAACATCTTATAATTGCATATTTATTCCATAGAATAACTAAATGACCAGGAAAACGTTTATAAAATATTTAAAAGAGCCGACAACGGCTGTGTTATTGCTGGAACAAAATATAGCCGCCTTATTGTGGTTCCCCGCTTCAATGGAGCTTTTGTTTTATTTCGATTTTTCTCCTTGATTGAAATGCCTTTCTCTTGAATGGGAAATCGGCGGGAACTTTCACTCAGACCGCTACAAAGCAACGCTTTTTACGCTTCATTATCTGAAATAATATTTTATAGCGCTATCTGTTGAATGGGAATTGCTTCGTTTTCTAACTATAAAGCATAGATTCAAATTTTACTACCGTATTAAGTCTTTATTGCGTCTGTGTTAGGTACAATAATTGCAGTTTGAGAAATTACCCCAAGAGACTTTCTTACTTATCAATTAACGAATCTGAGTGAGGGCGTTAGTAATCAATGAATTTCAATTAAAGAATTCTATTTTTAAATAAAACCCTGCAAATTTTCCGTCCCGATGAAAGAGATAACAAGTGGGTGTAACCCTAATAAGAAATAACATTCAAAATATCCGAAAATAAACAAAATACTTTTTTGACTATATTTTATGAACTAAATAATAAACAAAACAATTTTTGCATGATTGTTTAAAGCTATAGAAAAAGAGGTTTGATCAATTTGTATTGAAAACTGTAATAACAATTGATTTGTTGATCAAATAAAATTCATGAATGTATTCTTCTTGAATCACAACCGAATTCAACTTTAAAAATATGGTAAGGAATATTCCTTTGAGAGAAGAGTTTGAAACTGTATTTAACAACAAAGTCG